TTGGTGCCTGCTTCATTATCCTTAAGTTTGGCAGTAACAACCCCTAAGCTTTCATACAGGCTAGCTAGAAGTAACTCACTCAAACACACCTTTTGACCAGAATGTAACTGGTTTGCTAGGGTCATAAATCTCTTGGCTACTTCCAGAGATTTGCAGAAAAAATTGAATTTGGATAACCATAAGGCTAGGAAAGCTATGTGTTCAACGTCATAAACATATTCTCCATCAACATGATAAATGTCTATATAAGTGCTAAAAGAAGCATTTTTGACATTGAAGTCAATGGTGTTTTCAGACTCCAAATAAGGATTAAAAGTATCTCCAATAGGAGAAAGTCCGTTGATAGCAGCAATATCAAAGAAAGTTAGGGTTATCATCCCACAAGGGAGATGAAAAGTATTGTAAGTATTATCCCAAAAATACAGGGACGCTAGCAAAAAAGGCTGGCAATAGCTAAAACCTAGTTTCGACATTTGAATCAAGTCAAATATTCCTAATTCTTTCCAAACCTGAGCTTTTCTCTTTTCAACCTTAGTAAGCCAAGCTAAATAGGATTTATCTAAGGTTGGGCATGATCGAAAGGGTCTAAAGCTCTCAGTTATGTAATCTAGATGAAAAGCTTCTCTCTCTGCCTTAGGGTTTGAAGGAATATCTTCAGAGGTTTTATCCTTAGAATATTTTTTGGGCTTCTTAGTGGAGTCTTAAATGTTCTCCTTGGGGGGGGGGGGGGTACAGTTTTGTTTGCCAAGGGTTTGGTAACATGATAAGTGGGAAAAAACTCTACATACTTTTCTAAGTTTCCTGTAGCGATCAAGGGGCCTAAGAAACCTAGGGATTTACCAGAGAGCAGAGAAGGGATTAGTACCTGGGAAGCATAAATAGCTTTTTGTTCCTTAGTAAGTTTTAGAGGCGTGATAAACTCTTGATTTCCAGAAGTAATAATTTTGTTGGTTGGTACACTCTGAGAAAATGAACCTTTGAACACCCCATACTTCTCAGCATGCTTGGAATCCTGTTTAGCAGAAGACAATGTTGCAGATTTAAAAAATTGATGAAGCTTTCAAGAGAAATGGGAGCGCAAATCAGAGAAAAATGTGAAGATTTCTGGGTTTGTAAAAGAAGAAAGAGAAAAAGTAAAAGAGATGACCTTTTATAGTGGTCAGTGGAAGAGTTGGAGGTTACACCTCAAGGAGTTAGTAGGGCACATGCTAGCATCTTCTGAAGAAAGGAATTAAAGGAAAATGAAAGGTTGCTAGTTGAAATCTGGTGATTACAAGAAATGCCCATTTCTGCACTAATTCGAAATAGACATTTATTGGGGGAAATTTGTTAGCTGAAGATTTATACATTTGATGAAAGTTGATTTGAGAAAACCGTGTTTCAAAGGATGGCATGAAACTTGGCCTTATAAGGTTATTTTATAAAGTTTATTCTTATAGTTCGATATGCTGAAGTGAAAATCAGAGTCAAAAGATTGAAATCATATTTCAAGATATATGAAGATCGCTTCAACACTCACGTTAGATGAATTCAAAGCTTCGAGCGGGAAAAGTTTAAAATTTAAACTGATGCATTTTCGCCAGGAGGACGCGTGGAAGCGTCAGAATGTATGCGTTTGAAAATGTCGAACGTGGCATGATCTCATAGAAAGACCGTTAGGGTCGAATTAGTATAAATAAAAGTATTAGATGTTAGGATTCAGGGTGTCACATTGTATACAAATCATTTAATGCTCAAAGTACCGGAGCGAGAGAAAAGAGTTTGCTGATAATGTATGTGTACGAACACCATCAGTTTATTTAAAGTCATTTTCTCAATACAAAGTTACTTTAATCACTTTATTATTCTTTTTCGTTTCCAGTCAAGTCTTTAAAAAAATTTATTGAACTTTTTTTTATTGACATTGTCTTTACATTCTTGCAAATATCCAGATCATTTCCTTTATGTTACATTTAGGATTTATAGTCAAACTTTAATATCTTAGGATAATCATAATCACGTAGAAAGATCTTGTTATTATTCATATAATTCCAAACTTCGAGTCAGATTGTAAAAACACTAAGACACATGTCCTAGGATCAATCTAGTCGATCCTGTAAGTTACCAAAGTGTGGAGTTTGGAAGACTAGCGGTTGTTTGTCAGAAATCACTGGTAAACAGTGACCCCCATTCTTTGTCTGCAACACTTTGAAATAGAGTTCTATCCCCACTTCTCAAGGTGTCCATCAAATTTTCACCACCAAAAAAACAACCGTTAGACCTCTTTCCGCCATTGACTTTACTCCATATATAAAAATCCACATCTGAATGAACTCTCTCTCTCTCTCTCTCTCTCTCTCTCTCTCTCTCTCTCTCTCATAGTATATTAAGGATTATGAGTCAGAAATTATGCAAGCAATATGTGATAATCCTCCTACAAATTCAATAAAAAAATTAAGTTAAATATAACTAAAATTAAATAATATATGAAATATAGGCACATGATTTCCACGCCACAATTTTTTAGTTTCCAAGTGATTTTTACGCCACAACTTCTCAGTTGCCACGTGATTTTCATGCACAAAGTTGTTATTAGGGAGACCACCACTGATGACTGAGCTGGTTAAAAAGACTCGGACAAAGAAAACAAGAGATTTTGTTGACGAACGTACACAAAAAGCAATGGTAAGTTATTTAATTTGTGTTGTTTATATATATATATATATATATATATATATATATATATATATATATATATATATATATATATATATATATATATATATATATATATATATATATATATATATATATATATATATATATATATATATATATATATATATATATATATATATATATATATATATATATATAAACAACGCAAATTAAATAACTTACCATTGCTTTTTGTGTACGTTCGTCAACAAAATCTCTTGTTTTCTTTGTCCGAGTCTTTTTAACCAGCTCAGTCATCAGTGGTAGTCTCCCCATAATTTTAGTCTAATAATAAAATTAACTTTCATTAATAATATATATTATAAATCAAAATATAACTTTAAAAAATGGTAATAATTACCATGCGTCGAAAATGTTCAGTAGTATTTATACTTTCAACTGCATTAAGACAACCTCCTTTTTTAGATGCTCTCATCTTTGTATTTTCAGATTTAGTCTTAAATACTAGTGTATCCCAATACTTAAGAAGATCATCAAAAACTTATTTGCCTATCCAATTGGGATAGATATACAAAAGTTCCCAATGCTTTCTAACACCCGTAACATGTCAGAAAATCGTCTTGATGTTCCACCATAATAATTTTTTTAATCTGTCTCTTGTTCATTGAATCTGACACATATTTTTCCTGCAATGTTGTATGACATTAAAATAAATAGTTAGATAACTATAATGAAAAAGTCATTTAAATAACAATAACTTAAAAACTTAAATTAATTATACCTGAAATGACTAAAACCAATCGTCTTTATCTGAAACGTCTTTAAAATTCATCAAAAATTCTTTATACCTCGGCCTGAAACTAAACAACAATAACTTGAATTAGCATTAAATATAAAGTTATATTAAAAATAAAAATGTATACTTAAATAAAAATTTATAAATAAGAAAAAATTAAAATTGTAAAAATATCTCTTCTTCAATCTTCTTGTTGATCCTCTTTAAAATTCTTCAAACTTATTCTCTTCAATACCTTGAAAAAAATAAAATCTAAATTAAAAATAGAAAATATTATAAAGATAAAACAAAATTATAAAAAATAATTGATGCAAACTTACCTTTGAAACAAGATTGAGAGAGAGAAAAATTGGAGAATTGGAAGAGAAGAAGAGAAGTGGAAAAAAATTGCTGTGTTTGTGGTTTCTGGGAGAAAGAGAAAAGTGGTCTCTATATAAGCCAATCAGCGACGTGAATATCACGTCGCAACCTTGCCACGTGATATTCACGTCGCAAAAATTACAACGGTAATAATTTAATGTATGTTACATGCACATTTCTGCATACAATCAATTCAATATCAGGGGTCTTCCCTCTAAAAAGTTATGACATGATAAACACGTCACAATAAATTTTTTGAAATATTCAAACTTTCCCTCTTTAGAACGCCCGTGTGTTTTAGTTTTTTTTATTCTAATTTTTATATTATGACGTGATAACTACATCGTAACTTTTTTTAAAGAAAAATAAATTCTGACACTCCCATGAATAACGTTACTTGTATTACTTTAATGGTAAAAATAAGTAGTGACGTGATTATCATGTCATAACTATTTATTTTTTATGGTGTGATAATCACGTCACAACATCACTTCGCATGAACTTTATTTTCTTGTAAATATTAACGTTGTTTATGCCATCGGCAGACGATTTAAGAGTGGGAGAAAAATGTGTAGAACACATTCTTATTCTTCTTCAATTTTAAATTAAGAGAAGATAAATATGCAACAAGTTTTAAATTGAGATAAGATGTAATCATTTTTGATTTGGGAAAAGATGAAAATAAAACCACTTTTAATTTGGAATAAGATGAAGGTGTTGAAGACACAAGTTATGTGACCAAAGTGAACGTTCAAAATAAATATAAAAATATGAAACTAAAAATAAAATTTTACGAGATAAAATCTAAGTTGAGCCTTTGATTAATCTTTCAAGTTTATCTATTGAAAATGATAGTTTTACACTCAATAATATTATAATTTGAAAAATAATTTTATAATGGAAAAAAGTTTAATTGTTATGGAAGAAAGGAGTAATTTATTTTGAAAGAGAGAAGGGTAGTTACCCTCTGACATCTTAGTTTGGAGTAGGTGACATTGCTTTTATAACTTGAATCCTATGTGTTTGGCAGCATTAATTGAGACTATGAAGTGTTACCTGCAAAATATTACTACATGTTAGAATACAGTCAGTCGCACTCACTGCACTCTTTTTAGAAAACCTCGTTTATTTATAAGCTTAGTGTATAGTAGCATGAAAAACAGAAACAATAGATTGATTAAGAAACATGGAACATAAAACAGTGAGCTTCTATATTTGCCATCCATGCTATTGTCTTGAAGAAGCACTCGTGACTTTCTTGAAGTGTTTAGGTTTTGAGTCCACACAAATCATAGAAGAGGAAAACTCATCAACATCACTACTCAAACATCATGCCAGTGCTTCTGATGCTATTGTAGCCTCAGAATATCAATATAACTCTTCAAGTAGCAGTCAAGAACACTCACAAAAAGGTGTTGCAGATTCATCATCCACATCTACTCAAACCCTTGTATGTATATATTTTATTTCTTTTATATATTAATTAACTATAGTGACTAAATTAAACCTATGATTTAACTGTGTGTTATATAAATAATGTTATGTATTATATATTGTGTGCAGAATTTAAGTTCAATGGGAAGGGGTGGTCCTCGAAGAACTCCACTTACCAAAGATCCACCAGGTGGCCATAATTAATATATATAGCTCAACTTCTCAGATGTAATTAGGTGTGTGGTACTCTCGAAGGTGTTCTCTATGGCCAGAATCTCAGAATAAATTTGTATATGCAGATTTTTATTCTGAAATAATATATAGTTCTAAAGTAGTCTTCTAGCTAAACATAGATTTGTTTTCGTCAACCTCTTCGGATTAGTTTCTTTTTTCTTTGCAATTTATTTTCGCATAGAGTCTTATAGGCATGAGAATTAACTGGTTAAAGTATATATGGGAATCCTGGCTATGTTAATCCATGTATAGCAAGCTTGCGCTTCTTTAACTCTTCTTTTTTTGAGAAATTTAGTTTACTGTATTTTAAGTTTTAATTTTTTTTAAACAAAATACTTTAATCATAATAAATGGAAAATAATATTTCTTCTTGCTAGATAGGTTAGAATTTAAATTATTATCTGTCAATTGAATATACATGTTCAACAAAGAATAACATATAATTAAGTACGAAAGTCAGATAATCATCCATGCATGTATGTATAAATTAAAGGATATATAGTTGATTTTAGGAATACTTAGATTCATTGAGAAAATTTTTGTTGGCACTAATCCTGAATGTTAAGAGATGAAAAAAAATATTCGATGAGTTGTGTGGTTCTTCTCAATCGGTACTTCTAATGATTTGAATACTCTTTACATAGGGAGGAGAGATAAACGACTTGTGTATGGTACTTATAATGTCTTGAATACTCTTTAGATGAGGAGAAGAGATAAATGAATTTTGTACGATACTTCTAATGACTTGAATACTCTTTAGATTGAGGACTATAGGTTATAGAGTGATGGCGAATTAAGGTTTCCATTATTCTGAAATGGTTCATTCTAACATCCACTAATATTTGAGCTCATATCCAATTAATTAATTAATTTTTGTAGCATTTTTGGATCGAACTCTAGTCTCGACAGTGGAAATGTAATACCCTATTTCTACCCGGCGGATAATAAGAAAATCAGAGTTCAACATAAATAGGATGCTACATTTTCAACTAAAAATCAAACTTCTTTAATCGCATATAAAACAGATACATAACACTTAATTCGGATGAACCGATCACAATCTGATTTATTCTTTAAAATCAACAACTTTTCATTGATAAGCAGCGGAATATACATATTTAACTTCAATTCACTTAACATCTCTTGTTCAACTAAAACAACCTCAAGACAACAATTATTTCATGTAATCAACTTAAAAATTCAGCAACTGGAATAATAAACAACAACTAAACATCAAGCGTTCATTCCCCCGAGTGTTACGTATCAGAGCGACAACACCGACTCGAACTAACGAGGTAACAACTATCCTTCTTGATTACCTGCACGTTACCAACAGAGGAAAACATTCAAACAGAAGGGGTGAGATATCTAACAATATAATAAAACGTATGATAAATAATATATTATATCAGATCATATAACATCACCACTTCATAACTCACAACAATATTAATCACCACAAAACATCAACACGACATAACTACTAAATTCACAACTTTTAGATAATACTTGTCACAATAAGTCAACAACCTAAATCAACAACAAATCTATCTTCACCACAACTCAAGATGCAACATCAAATGCGACTCAATTATAATGCAAATGCATGTGGTACCATTGAAGCAGAACTCCCATCTTAAAATAATTGCCAATAAATAGAGGCATCAACAAGGCATAAGCCTTCATCTTAATATTCGCCAATATAGGCCATCTTAACGAGCATCAGCTCCATCTTGAAATGCAATGTATGCAACACAATCATGAATGTAATAACAACAACCATAATTAACAACATCTCAATACAACATCATCGTTGGCCAGAAGCCTACATCTTAATAGCTGCCAATCATTAGAGGCATCTCAACATCATTCATCAACACCATTCATCAACATGATTCATCAACATAATTCATCAACATAATTCATCAACATAATTCATCAACATCATTCATTAACATAATTCATCAACATAATTCATCAATATAATTCATCAACATAATTCATCAACATAATTCATCAACATAGTCCATCGACATAATTCATCAACATAATTTTACAGTAACTCAGCCACCACAACAATACAACGATAGATCGACAATCCTGCAACGTTGGCCATAGGCCTACAACATGTTATTGCCTATAGTTAATTAATCATCTAAGGCTTACCTCTAGTTAACAAACCTCTACATATTACTATTCTGTAATACTACATCATTATCATCATTAATCTTACGGTTATGAACCAAATAATAATCTATAATCGTCTTATCCTCATCATTCTTCACAAAATCATCATAGCGATTAACGCGGGAAGCTAACTCTAGTCCTAAATTGGGTACTAAGATTATTCTTCTTATTCTTCATTTTAATCCTTAAGAATGAAGTTCATCGCGTTAGCTATCCAACGCTTCAAACGGCACCTCAAACGGAGTTTGGAAACTCAAGTTATAGCCTTTGGAACAAATCTGCAAAAAATCAGGCTACATGAGTCGACGCGTAATGTCTTGAGTCGACGCGTACTGGGCTAAAAATCCAGCATGATTCGACGCGTACTCCCTTTGTATCGACTCATATTGAGTCTGCAACACCTCATGTATCGACGCATGCTCCTTCGTATCGACTCATCCTGAGTCCAAAAACCTGCATGTATCGACGCATGGCTTTGAGATCGACGCATATTGTTCTGTCATGAATATTTTCTGCGGTTTCACTATGTTTTCACTACGGTTTCCCTGCCTTAGGCCCTAAAAACATCCTCTAATCATAGGAAATCATCAATTATAATAATCCTATGTTTCTACATCAATTATACATCATTAGGGCATCATTATTCATCTCTAAATCATTGATCTTCATCATACAACAATATATACATTCCAATCATAAATAAGACAACTTTTCATATCTAATCCCACATACTACTCATCATAAACCCTATTATAGAGTCAGAACCCCACCCTTACCTTGGATTGAAGATCACTCTATAATTTTCTGATCGAATTCCGTTTTGCCTCTTTTCCTTCTTTTCTACAACTTTCACGTTCTCTTTCTCTCTTCCAACCTTATTCTTCTTCCTCTTGACAAAAACCTATTTTTCCTTACTGTCATATCTAGATTCTATTATTATAACCAAACTCAATAATAATAGAATTATTTCTCTTGGGCTTAACTCTCACACCCCCTTAGTACAACATACTACCATATAAAATAGGCCCAACAACTTAATCTTATATTATTCCATTAATTCCAACATTATTATTATTAATCAACCAATTAATTAATTAATAATAATCTAACAACTTATACCAACAATCCACAACATCACGTAACTTCAACAAATAATTCAAAATAATTTAAATAAATAATTAATTAAATTAACGGGTGTTACAACTCTCCTCCACTTAGAATATTTTCGTCCTTGAAAATCTACTCGATACTACCACTCTTAACGCGAAATTCGCATCTCATTCACTGATCTCCAAGTCGCGTCTGGCAACACTTCGGCCACTACTTTATCGACATAACAATAACTCAACATGATTTAAATCTAATACACACATGCTAATCATTCAACACCTCCGCGACATAATCGTTAATAACTTATCAACCGCTTTAACAATATCTTGACATATTAATATTTTAAAGTAGTAACACACTTATACTTGGATATACAACATCATATTATCGTCTTAACAACATCTTCAACACCAAAACACACACAATTCCATTCATATATATATATATATATATATATATATATATATATATATATATATATATATATATATATATATATATATATATATATATATATATATATATATATATATATATATATATATATATATATATATATATATATATATATATATATATATGTCAATTATCAACAACTCTATTCATATCATTGTATCACCCTTATAGTGACATCAACATAGCCAACATAATCAACTTCTTCATATTATGGAGTATTATTCCCCCTTTATGGTAACCAACAACAACATCACAGCAACGAAAACAAAATTATTATAACGTCAACTTAACAGCCTAACTCAATAGATATACACACAACCTACCATCAACTAACAACCACATTAATATCCTCATAAATTAGCAAATATCTCTGAGGTATCACAACACCTTGGCACATCATCCCTACATCCACAATCTACCAAATCAAGCATGTAGAGTCGCATACTCATAGCAACTGCACCACATACACTTCAGTTGCACAACTCTGATAATCTATCTTAAGTCACCATCCTCATTAAATTTTATGCCAACTATACAGTTTACAAGTCTCATTCCAGTTTCAGACTTTCCTCAACATCCACCATAAAACCATTGTTCACTTGATATTCTCAATCTTTCACTTTGCGACGTTAGCTCGCATATCAACCCGCTACTCTGAATTGTTCAATACGTCACAACTCTTCCTATCAATTCCTCTATTACTTCACACAAACTGGTGAGCGACTACCTCCTGATATAACATCAACCACTTTACACACTATTAAGGTAGCAATACAAGTCTACACTATCCAACACGTTCTCGTCTACTATCAACAAGAGATTAAGTGTGATCAGTTCTTCAATTTGTCAATAGATAGGAGACAACCATAATGGAGTATAAATCACCATCACCAAACTATAATAGCGTTAGTATTCAAGTTTTCTAAAACACAACATGTCTAATCCTTATTCACCCACCATCCTACGATGATCAATCATTTTCTAACTCGAGATCTGTTGGCATATCAATACATTACAAATCCTTCCACTCTAGTCTGAGTCTTCATCTACATAAGGATTCTAACAACATTCTTAAACTCTTAATCCTCTTCTGAATTTCACAACATGTTGAAAGGGGACTGGAGTACTCTTGGACTGTGAGGGGAACCATGATACATATTTGTGTTCTTTACTTTTCCGCATTTTCCGCATTCATCACTAGTCATAAACCAGAAAAG